CGCCGCCGCTCTCTCCGGCGCGCCACATGTGCATGCATGCCTGACAGCCCTGCTCCTTCCCCTCATGCACACACACACACACACACGCGCGCGCGCGCCGGCACAGCCACACGCGCCTCGCCCAGATGATGCACGGGCAGAGCGTCCACCCACAACAGCAGCAACATCAGCAACATCATCACTATCAGCAGCAGCAGCAGCAATACCACCCAGCCATGTCTGCCGCACAGCACTCCGGACGCGCGGCCCCTCCCCACCATCCGGCCCCCATGCCCCCGCACCATCCGCACCACCACCACCACCCGGTGGCGGCCATGCCGCCCCCGCACCACCCCCATCACCACCCCCACCCGGGGCAGGGGCCACACCACCACCCCCCGACCGCCCCGCCGCCGACCCCCCCCCAGCAGGCCCCCCCGCGCGACCAGCCCCAGCGCATCGATGTGTCCACCTGTCCCGGGTGCAACCCCCGCAAGGTGGGCAACTACGAGGTTGTCCGGTCGCTCGGATCCGGCAACTTCGCCATTGTCAAGCTCGCGCGCAATGTCCTCACCAATGACGAGGTACGGCCCAGGCTCGCGCCCCCCTTCCCCGTCTCGCCGCACTCCCCTGACGCAAGCTGATCCCCCCCCCCCCCCCCCCCCCCGCCCCGCCCCCTGTCGCGCCCGGCTGCCGGCTCAGATCGCCATGAAAATCATCGACAAGCGCCGGCTCAACAAGATGCAGCTCAACCGCCTGTACCGCGAGGTGCGCATCCTCCGGCAGCTCGGCCACCCGCGCGTCATTCGCCTTTTCGAGGTGCTCGAATCCGAACGGCATCTGTACCTGGTGACCGAGTACGCCTCCGGCGGCGAGCTGCGCGCCTTCATCGAGAAGAATGGCCCCATGACGGAGGCCGACGCGCGGCTCATGTTCCTCGAGGTCCTGGCCGCCGTCAAGCACTGCCATGATTGGCGCATCGCCCACCGCGACCTGAAGGCCGAGAATGTGTTGCTGGACAGCCGTGGCCATGTGAAGGTGGCGGACTTCGGCTTCGGCCACCGGCCGGACCACCGGCACCCGGCCATGCCGGATTTCGCCACCACCACCACCGGCTTCGAGCAGCTGCTCGAGACCTTCTGCGGGTCGCCGCCGTACGCCGCGCCGGAGCTCTTCCGCGGCGAGCCCTACAACGGCGCCTCGGTCGATGTCTGGTCGCTGGGTGTGCTGCTTTACTACATGACCACCGGCCTGCTGCCCTTCAACGGGACCACCCTGGAGGAGATCCGCAACCGGGTCACCGGCGGCCAGTTCAGCATCCCCCGGCACCTGTCGGTCCCGCTGCAGCGCCTCCTTCGGCAGATGATCCAGCTCGACCGCCACCTCCGCCCGAGCAGCATCACCGAGCTCCTGTCCGACCCGTGGCTCAATGGGATTTACCCGCCGGAGATGCTGGCCCTGGAGCAGCAGCCGCACCACCATGGCCGGCACTCGGACCAGTCCTCGCCGCCGGCCGCCGCCGGGGGACACTTCGAGCGGGCTCGCTCCTCGCCGGCCGGCATGACCGGTGGCTCCTCCTCGGCCTCGGGCGGGGGGGCCCAGCGCATCGCCGCCCCGGCCAGCTCGGATGCCCTGTTCGCGGGGGGCCCGACGGCCGAGGCGTCGGCCGCCGCCGAGGCCGCCCCCCCGCGCCTGCCCGATGGTTATGGCTTCCCAATTGACGCACGCGCCTTCATCGAGAATCTCAACCAGAACAGCGCCAGCCCCCTGCGCCCGGATACCATCAGTCCCGAACTGCAGGACCGCATCATCTGCGAGGTGGCCCGCAAGCACAACATCGAGGAGGCGGCCCTCCGGGCCGCGGTTGCCGACGACCGCTATGACGACATGACCGCCCTGTACCGGCTGTCGGTGGCTGCTACACTGACGGCCATTGCCGAGGCGGAGGAGGCGCGCCTCATTCGCCGCCAGCAGCGCGAGGCTGCCGAGGCCGCTGCCGCTGCCGAAGCCGCCGCCGCCGCCGAGGCCGCCGCCGCTGCTGCTGCTGCTGCTGCTGCTGCCGCCGCCGCCGCCGCCACCACCACCGAGGTCGCCACCACCGCCGCCGAGCCTCTCTCGCCCCACCGCAGCAAGGATGCCACCGCGGCCAACTCGGAGGGACAGCCGTCGGCGGCGGTCGCGGTCGCGGCCACCACCATCCCCCCCATGTCGAATGCCAGATCACCGGCCTCCCAAGACGAGGCTGGCCCCTCCTCCAGCTCGTCGGCCGGGCCCGCGGCCCCGGCCGGCAATGCCCGGCTGGCCGGCTTGGCATCGCCACTGCCACCGCTGACGCCGGATTCCCCGCGCCCAGGGGCCACCCCCGCCGCCGGCAGCAAGGCCATCGAGCATCGGCCGCTGTCGCCGACGGAGCTGGCCCGACGCCAGGCGGCCGCCGCCGCCGCCGCGGCCAATGCCCCCTCCGGGCCCCGGACCGACACTCCCCCGCCCACGGATGACAGCGCCCTGTCGTCGATGGACTCGCGCACGGAGCAGGCCCTGTCGACCTGCTCCTCGGCCGGCGGGTCGGCGGTCCTGGTGGCCGGCGGTCCGGAGGCCTCGTCCTCCACGGACTTGGCCGCCGGCTCGTCGTCGTCGTCGTCATCATCATCATCATCATCGTCGTCGTCGTCATCGTCGCCGCCGCCGCCGCTGACCCCCTTCGAATCGGCCACGAGCACCGCCATGCAGGTGTCTGCCGGCCTTTCCGGCACTGCTGGCGGGGCCCCCCACCGGTCGGCCTCCTCCTCGTCGTCGAGTGACCAGGCAGCCGGCGGCGCGGCGGCGGTGCACCTCCTGGGCTATGACCCCCGGTATCCGGCGCCCCCGCCCCCGGCCACGGCGGTCCCCTTGACGCCGAACCTGATGTCCTCGCCCAGCCCGGCGGCCACGGTCTTCGCCCCGCGGCACCGCGAGCCTGGGGCCCCGTCCGCCGCGGCGCGCACAATGTCCCCGGCGCAGATCAGCAGCATGAAGATGGCCCTTGGGGGCGTGGGCCCGGCCGCGGCCGGCGGCCATGTCACCGGCCTCTCGCCACACCACATGGTCCATTCCCCGGGGCCCGGGCTGGCCAGTGCCACCGGGTACTTCCCTCCCGGCTCGGCGGCCACTTTGCCCATGAATGTGGCCCTCGGCGGAGGCCCCGGCCCGGTTGGGCCCGGGCCCGGGCCCGGCGGCCTCCACGGGCATCACCATCCCTCGCACTCGGGCCACATGGTGCACCATGTGGTCCAGCCGGCCGGGCACCACCGGCGGTCGCCCTCCTCGCCGGGGGTCCGGCAAATTCACCTGGTGTCGGGCGCCGGCGGCCCGGACGGCAGCATCCTGGTCGGCTCCATGTCGGCGCACCTGCGGCCCAGCGACTGCGGCGACCTGATGACCGCCACCGACCCCACCAACTTGGTGGGCTGCGCCTCCTCGCCGGCCAATCTGCTGTTGCCGTGCTTCGAGTCGGGGGACCTGCTGATGCGCACGGCCCCGACGGCGGCCTCCTCCTCCTCCCCCTCCTCCTCCTCCTCGCCCGGTGGCGGCGGTCCCCCCGGTGGCAGTGACCACCACGCGGCCGACACGGGCGACGCCTCGCCCCCGGGCCCCGGGCCAGTGGGCATGTCTCACCAGCTGGCAGCCGGGGGCAATGTCGCGCAGCACGCCACCCCGCAGCCGCCCCACCACTCGGACAGCCGGTCGCCCTCTCCCTCGCCGAAGTTCGCCAATTTCTTCATCTTCAGTCGCCGGCGGCGGAAGCTCCGTGGCCCGGGCGGTGTCGAGTCGGCCCCGGTGCTCAGTCAGCCGCACCAGCCGCACCACCCCTCTTCCCCCTCTTCTTCTTCTTCCTCCTCCTCCTCCTCCTCCGCTTCCCAGCGTGGGGCCGGGACCGCTGGCGCTGCCGGCCCGCTGGCCGCCGCACCCAGCTTCGGCATCACCACTGCCGGGCTGGCCGTGGATCCGATGGCCTCCACCGACTCGGCCAGCTCCCCTTCGAGTGCCGCCTCCCCGGTGATGACCCTACCGCTGCATCCCTTCTCCCCGGTGCCGCACCACCCATCGAGTTTCCACATTCACTCGACCACCGGCGGCGGCTCGTCCAGTGGCAAGTCCTCCTCCGACAAGAGTTGGTACCGCCTGCGCCGGTCGCGCAGCGTGGCCACCGGAAGCCTGTCGTCGCCGAACTTTGGTGCCTCTCCTGGCGGCCACCCTCACCACCATATCTCCTCCAGCGGCGGCGGCGGCGGCGGCGGCGGCTTTGGCAGCCCGGGGTACATCCTCCCGTGCGAGTGTGTGGCGCATTCGGTCCCCGTGTCGCCGACCGGCGCCGGTGGCCATGGTCCCCATTACCACTACCAGCAGCTGCAGTATGTCCAACAGCAGCAGCAGCAGCAGCAGCAGCAGCACCACCACCATTCCCAAACGGCCGGTGCCTCGCCCAGCCCCTCGCCCCTGGGCGGCTTCGGCGCCACCGACCCGCACCACCATGGCAGCGGTGGCCAGCAGCCCTCGCGGCCGTCGTCACGCCGGCGCCGCCTCAGCATGCCGCTGCTGTCGCTGTCGCGCTCGGCCAGCGTGTCTTCCGGCCTGTCGCGCGCGGCCCCGGATGCCGGGTCCGTCACTCCCGGAGCCAGTGGCCTTGGCGGTGGGGTGGTCTCCTATTCGGTGTCCCCCTCGCCGTCCTCCGGCTACCATGGCCCGAGCTTGACCTCGACGGACCCGGTCCTCGGCAGCTCCTCCGGCGCGTGTTCTCCCTACCCGCAGGCCGGGGGGGCCTTCTTCCGCGCGCCGGCCTCGCACCACACCCTCCCGGCCAACATGCAGCCCGGCGGGGGTGCCGGGCAGGCCCCGCCGGTCGGCGGCGGGCCCGTCAACAGTGTCATGGGCCCTGGCCCCATGATGATGTATGGCTGCGACTCGCCGATGTGCATCTACCTGCCCCAGCGCCAGCCCTCGACCACGGCCTCCCTGCCGCGGGGGTCATTCCTTGGGCGCATCTTCCGAAGCGGGTCCTCTTCGTCGTCGTCGACGGCGGCGGCGGCGGCGGCGGCAACCGCGGCCGCTGCCGCAACCGCCGGCTCGCCCCCCACCCCCAGCTTCGGCTTCAACATGCCCACCAGTGCCTCGGTGCACATGTCCCTGGCGGACTCGCCATCGGCCGAGCTGCTGGGCGGCGGGTCGCCAGTGCTCCGGTCGCATTCCACCCCGGCCGTCAACCGGCTGATGGGGAACTCCATCGGGTCGCTCAATGGCGGCAGCAGTGGCAGCGGCAGCGGCGGCGGCGGCGGCGGCGGCGGCGGCGGCGGCAGCGGCAGTGCTCATCACCAGTCCCACCACCATGGTGGCATCGGGGATTCGTACCACCTGCCGGCCGGGTATCGGCCCTGTCCGGCGGTGGCACCATACTCCCTGCCGGCCGGCTGGGCGGTGCAGTTGCCGCCGACGATGCCCGGCTCGCCGGCCGACTCGCCGGTCTCCTCGCAGATGGTGGCCGCACGCATGGGCGCCACTGCCGTGGATCCTGCCCTGCAGTTGAGCATGCCGATGGACAGTAGCGGCCTGAGCAGCAGCCTGGCCGGCTCGACGGCCACCCTGCACGAGGACCTGGGTCATATCCTGGCCTTCCAGCGGTCGCTCAACCGCACGGCCGCCGCCATGGTCGAGCACCTGCCCGGGTGCAAGGACTTTGGCGACCTCCTTAGTCGGCATTTGACCAAGCCCTCGATGCTCATGTCCCTGTCGAGCACCGGGCCGACGGACAGCAGCCTCATCAATCTGGCACACAGCCTGGCGGCCGTGGTCACCGGGGCTCTGAAGCTGGAGCTCATGCTCCCGGCCAATGTGGCGGCCCTGTCGATGCGGCTTGTCCGCCAGATGCCGGGCAGCACCATGGCCGGGGCACCGGCCGCCGGTGCATCCGTCTCCGCCTCCGCCTCCGCTGGGCACCATTCGCGACATGGGTCCACCTCCTCCTCCGCCTCCACCACCTCCTCGTCCGCCTCCTCGACCGGCAATCGCACGGGCAGTCAGCACCTGGCCACCTCGTCGCCCTCTCTGCCGGCATCCGATCTGACCGACTCGGCCGAGTCCAACAGCGGTGCCGTCGCGGCGGCCAGCACGGCGGCCACCACGGCCGCGGCGGCCGCCGCCCTCGGCGACAGCACGGCCATCATGCTGGCCGACTGCAAGGCCTTCCTGGGCGAGCCGTCCTCCCCGCCGCCCGGGGTGTCGCGGTCTTCCCCCTCTTCCTCGGCCGATGGGTCGCCATCTTCGCCCCATGTGGGGGGAGCCTCGTTGCCGAGTGCCGGCGCTGGCGCCGGCAAGGAGCCGACCATGCTCTGGTGGGCCTTCTCGCCGCTGTCGCTGCCGTTTGCCGGCGGCCCGGCTCGGGCCCCGACCACCCCGGTGGAAATGTGGCTGCCGGCCTTCTCCAAGAACATCAAGACCTGCTATGTGGCCCACTTCCAGCCGAGCCCGGACTTGGTGATCTCGGTGGAGATCATCCGCAGCTGGACCTCGCGGCTGCGGTCGTGCTTCGGCCTGCGCTTCCGCCGGGTGACCGGCTCCGAGCGCGACTTCAACGCCACCGTGGCCACGGTGACGCATCTGATGCAACGGCTCAAGAGCAGCGCCGCGGCCGCCGGCAACAGCAACAACCTGGCCGAGCTGATGGTCGGTGCTGGGCCCTCGCGCCCGGCCTCTCCCTCCCCGGCCGGCATGCCGCCGCAGCTTGGCCCTGGCGCCAGCCCCAGCCTCAACCATCTGCCGGTCATGGTGAACCTGCCGCCGTCGCGCGATGGGCGTCCCGGCGGGGGGTCTCGCCCCGCCGCCGCGCCCGACGCGGCTGCTGCTGTCCGCCATCCGGCCGATGACCATCCGAGCCAGCAGCAGCCGTCGTGCCCATCCCCCAACAGCGGCAAGCCGCTGGAGGTCATCCAGCAAGCGCCACTTGAGCGTGGCCCGGTCGCCGTGGCGGCCCTCACCGGCGACACCCAGACGTGAGGGGGAAGATGGAATGCGCAGCAGGGGTGGTGGAAGCAAGAGGCGGGCCAGGGTGTCCCCCCCCTGGGGGTCCTCTGTCTTTCTTCCTGTCCCGCGCCCCCCCCCCCCCCGCGCGCCCCTCTCCTCCACTCACCCCCACCCTCGAGGAACATTCCCGTCACAGTGTCTCCTCCCTGTCCTTGTAATATCTCCCCCTCCATGTCCGCCTATCCTCGCGCCTCAGAGTCCCCCCCCCCCTCCCCCTCCCGGAGGAGAGGCCTTCTCCTCATCCCCCAGGAGAGAAGAAGCCTCGCCCCTCTCTCCCCCAAGACCAAGCGTCCTTGTCTGTACTATATACTCCATTCCTTGTTCACAGCTCGCGTGTCGTCGCCTGCTTTTTTTCTCTCCCCGATGTTGGGGGCTGCGCATCCTTCCGCAAGGGCGCCGGCATAGGTGGGCCCCGCAATCCGCGTCGACAGCCGGAACTGGTCAGACCAGTAGACCGGGGGGGGTCGGAAGAGGGGCACCGGGGGGGGGCTCGTTTTTTTTTGGGGCTTGGGGGGGGGGGGGGGGGGGGGGGGGGGGGGGGGGGGGGGGGGGGGGGGGGGGGGGGGGGGGGGGGGGGGGGGGGGGGGGGGGGAGAACCCCTCCGGGGGGGGCAGGCGTGCGAGGGCGAGTCGATCCCGCCCCCACCCCCCCCCCCCCCCCCCGGGCCAGAGAAAGAGAAGGCCTGAGCCCCGCTTTCCCGGATGAGACAGAACAGCCGCGAAATTTCCACCCCCCTCCCCCCCGCCCCCTCCCTCCCCGCAGGCGGACGAAGACAACAAAGAGGCGCCCCTCGAGAGAAACTATTCAACGGCCATATTATTGAGCGGGCGCACACACTTGCGCCCCCCTCCCTGGGCGATTCGCCAATATACCTGTGCGCCTCCGGGGGAAGGTGACGTAGACCGGCAATCGGACGGATGGCCGGGTCCACGCGTGATGCGCTCATCACGCCCACCGGATGGAGCACGTGCCATTCGAGAGTGTGGCCCCGTGTGTCGAGTGGTGCTCCTCCGCCTTTTGCGCCGTGTCCCTGCGCGGCCCCGTCCGGCTCTGCTGTCCGCGCGCACACACACACACACACACACGTTGGGGCGCGATCGGGGCGTGTGTGTGTGCGCGCGCGTGCGCGCGGGCAGCAGAGCCGGACGGGGCCGCGCAAAGGCCCGGGCAGGAGGGGAGGGAGGGGACACCCTGGGGGGGGGGGGGGGGGGGGGGGGTACACATGTTCCCTCCGCCCCGCTGGCCAAGTCAAAGGGCCCCAATCTTGCGGGCTCCCTCGAGGGGAGGGAGCGCGCCAGGTCCCCCCTTCCTCTCATAGATTGCCCTCTCTGTTGCTTTCTCCCTCCCCCCCCCTCCAATCCCCCCCGACCCGTGCGATGTCCTCGGCACAATTTTTCCGCCGCCTCGGCGGGCATGTCCCTCGAGCCTCCCCCGGCCGGGGCCCCACGCGCATGATGCACTCGTTGGCGGGGCGCACCGTGGCGGCGGTCCCAGCTGGCGGATCCACTCCCGGTCGGGCCACCGCCGCCTGGAGCCTGGTTGCTCTGTGCCTGGCTGGCTATGCCACCTTCCGGTGGGGGGACGACCTGGCCGAGCAGGCGCACGCCCTCTGGGCAGGGCCCGTGGCGGCGGCGGCGGCGGCGGCAAGCCCGCTGCTGACGGCGATGCACTGCGATGCCGGGGCCCCGCCGGAAACCGTGCGCACGGCGGCCCCCTTCACCGAGAGCCGCTTCTCGGCGGACATGTACTTCACGGCCCCGGCACACCACCGGGAGAACGCCGACATCCTGCTGCCCCGAGTGCCGGCAGTGCCGCGGCACCTGCCGGATGGCACACTGCACGTGTACGGCGAGTGCACCTTCCGCTGGATCGATGAGGCACTGGCCCCGGGGGCGGCTGCCCTGCCGGAGGGGCACCTGTTCTTCGGAACGCCAGCCCTGCGGGACCTGTCCGTGCATTTGTCCCATGGTGGTGCGTGTGTCTGACGCCAAGGGGAGGGGGGGGGGATGGCCATGGGCGGGCGTGGGCCGGGCACGGCGCATGCTCGCGCCGGCGCACATTCCGATGTCCCCCTCATCGGTCCCCTCTAACATGAATGCCTGCCTCCCTCTGTCGCGTGGTGCCGCCGCCCCAGCCGCGGTCAATGCCCGAGGCGATGTCTACCAGTGGGGCGTCGATTCTCCCGCGCCGGTGCTCACCCTGCGTGGCTTGGATGCGGTGCAGGTCGAGACCGCCGGCCAGGCGCCCTTGTCGGTGGCCCTAACCCGTCAGGTGCGCACGTGTCGCTCTGGCTGTCATCTGCGCCCTTTTCTTGTGTGTTTGCTCATGTCCTGACCTCGCACCTCTCGCTGCCTCTCCCCTTCCGGGCATGCACGCAGGGCTCCATCGTCGTCCTGTCGCCGATTGACGCACCGCCGGCCGACCACACGGCCACCCTCACCATCGCCAACACCGGGCTCGCTTCCTACCTCTACCCCACCAAGACCATCACGGCGGAGGGCGTGTCCCATGTGCTTGTGTGCCCGGAAGAGCCGACCATCAAGTACGTGTGCCTTCGAGCCGGCCGGCCACCTTTCGCTCCTGCGTTTGTCTGCCTTCCCCGGTGGCCGGGACTGACCTGTCGGTGTTTGGGGGGCCACAACCGCACGGGGGGGAAAAAAAAAGATTCAGCAAGATCTCCGTGGGCGATCACCACCTGCTCGCTGTGTCGACCTGTGGCCGTGTGCGTGCTGGCTTCCCCTCCCTTCCTGCCTCCCACATCGCGGGTTCTCTCCTGCCCTCCCCTTCCCCTTCCCCCCACCTTCCCGGCCTGGACATTCACCCTGTATCCACTCGCACCGCAGCTCTTCAGCTGTCCCCTGACGGAGAAGGCCAATGCCTTTGGCCAGCTGGGCCTCGGCACCATGGGCGACGTCCCAACTGAGGATCTCTTCAGTGCGCTCCCCCCCCCCCCCCCCCAAGGCCCGGGCGCACACACACACACACACGTGCATATGCATACATGCATGCATACACGCCCCGTGTGTCGGGGCGATATGGTGGAGCCGCCCGCCGCCGTGGCCGCAGCCGGGGGCCTGGCTGGTGGGACGGGTGGAGATGGAACCCGCGGCGGCGTGTTGTTCCCCCCCCTTCCTTGGCCTCCCCCCCCCCCCCCCCCCCCCCCCTGCCTCCAGCCTGACATTGCTTGTTATTGTGGACGCCCATCTGCTTGGGGGCGTCCTTTCTCCCTGCGGCTCCCCGCCCTCCCTCGGCCGGCCGACGAGCTAACCTCCTCTGCCGCGCCCGGCGCTACTGCTTGTGCCAGTCCTTCGGCCGGTGATCGGCCTGCCGGCGTCGCATGGCGTGGCCGACGTGGCCACCGGGGCCGGGCACTCCCTGGCGGCCTGTGACTCGGGACTGGTGTATGCCTTCGGGGACAACCGCATGCAGCAGCTGACTCTCGGCCACATCCGCATGAAGTCCCGGTCGCTGACGTCCTTCCCCGAGCCGACCCTCTGCCGGGGGCTGCCGCTGTTGGCCTCGGACCAATGGGTGTCGCGGACGCTGGCGGCCGGCGGCAAGCCGGACCCCGAGCAGCCAGCCCTGCCACAGCAGGTGGTTCGGCTGGCGGCCGGTGGCGACACATCGGCCTTCGTGGTCATCGACCGCGACCCCACCCCGCGGTACAATGTCCTGGTCAGTGGCTTCGGCCAATTTGGCCAGCTGGGATCTGGGTCCTTCCTGCATTCGGTCGGCCGGGCGCACACCGTGCGCAACCTCAGTGGCCTGACGTCCATGGACGAGGCCACGCGGACGCGTCAGCCCATCCCCATTCGGACCCTGTCCGTGAGCTTGGGCCACTGTGCAGGTACGCGGGCACACTGCTACCGCTGTTGTTGTTGCTGCTGTTGTTGCTGTTGTTTATATGCATGTGTGTGTGCACGGACCGCACAAACGCAAGTTGGAGAATGCGCGATGTATCTTTCCCCCTCGTTCGGTCGAGATCTCAGCGCGCCATTTCCCCCGGTTTAGTTGCCTCTTTCTTGTGCTTTTTTTTTTGCTGACTGTACCATGGCACTCCCCCCTGTGTCCGCTGGGCGCCGGTCCCGGTTGGTAAAACAAAACATCCATCCCAAACGACGCCCCGACGTGTGGGCTCCGACCACGGGACCCCCCTCCGCGCTCTGGCAGCCATCCTGGATACCACCACGCCCACGGGCCTGCCGAGTCGGTACATCCCCCCGCTGGACGCCTTCCTGTGGGGCGACAACCGTGCCGGGCAGCTGGGCAACGGCCTGCGCGCCATGGTGGGGGTCCCTTGGCAGCCGTCCGAGCGTGTGCTCTCGCCAAAGAAGCAGGATGGCTCTCCGGCCCCGCGGCCGGAGGACCTGCGCGACCTCCCCGCCGTCACCGGCACCCCGGGGCACCGCTTCGACCTGACCTGCAGCCCGACGGCCACCTTTGTCTTCCTGGCGGCCGACAGCCGCTGAGCGGACAGGGGCGCGCGCGTGCGTAGATGGTCGAAGAGCCCCCCGCCCTTTGTAGATGCACGCCCCCCCC